ATTCACACACATACATATAAGGCGATACCAATAAACTCCATATTCCACAAACTAAAGATCGCTTGATTTCACCCTGCAGTTACTCATAATTATGACGAAATAACATGATGCACGTTTTCCTGCAGATTGCTCTACTCATCTTTGCTGGTTATTGTCGTTTTGGCAACGTTTGCGGACTTCACACTGGACCGCCAAGGAGAGGAGAGGAAAAGTGGGGACGATACCAAGGAGGATGGCCTGGCGGGTAACGGTCTGACCTTTGGCACTTAATGTTGTTATTCAAAGACAATGAGACATTACCGTTGTTTTTTTTTTTTTTGGTATCCTGCCAAATTATATCGTCTGGCGCTTTTGTGTTTAGTAATAACAATCAACTGTGCAGCATTTTGGGTTTTGGACTTAACTGTTAGTCTTAAAGTAAACACAGAAGAAATTGTTTTACATATAAATAAATACATGAGTAAATGAGTAAAACAAAATAGGTTTCTTCACTCTTATAGGGTTATTTTGGTAAGTTACTCATTTACGTGTCGCCAAAGCCCCAACACATACAATGTTGTTTATTTTCCCTCGCTCCGATAAAGCCCCAGCCAACACCGCAAAAACCACCGCCACAACCACCATCCCATCAATACCACACCCACAACCGCCACCCATAATTACACCACAATCACTACCACTACTACCACTACCACCACCATCAATACCGACTCTACACCCACCACCATGGCCAACATCACCACCACCACAGTTACCTTAGCCAACACCATGATCACTACCACCCCCACTACTATCACAACATCCAACTCCAGAGACACCACCACCACAATCAAATTCACCTTAGGCAAGAACATCATTACTACAATCTTAACAACTACAACTACAACCTCCACCAACTCCACCACCACCACCACCACTCCCCCACAGCACAGCCAATACTATCAAAATCACCACCACCACCACCACCATCCCCTCCACAACCACCATCAGCACATCCAACATCAGTAACACCATCACAATTACATTCATTTTAGGCAACACCATCATCATCACCTTCCACACCCTCACCACCACCACCATCACCACATCCAACATCACCAACACCACCACAATTAAATTAACCTTTGGCAACACCATCATCACTACTATCCTAACCACCACACCACTAACAACCACCACCAACGCCACCACCACAGCCAATACTACCACCACCACCACAACCACCATAATATACTTTATTGTTTCACGATTGCCCTTTATCGATTAGAGAACGATGGAATAGAGGCAAAGATCAACGACATTAGCGGGTCTACTTCATCCAAGGACGAGTATCTGCCCTTGCTTAAGACGATGCTGAAAACGAAACGAGACAGTAAGATACACGTGTAGTTGTTGTTGTTGTTGTAGTGGTTGTTGTTGTTTTTGTTGTTGTTGTTGTTGTTGTTGTTGTTGCAGTGATTGTTTTTTTATTGTTGTAAATGTTGCTGTTTATATTGTTGTTGTTTTGTTTTTGTCGTTATAGTTGTTGTTTTTGTTGTTTTTGTAGTTGTTCATGTTGCTTTTGTTGTTATTGATGTTGTTTTTGTTCTTGTTATTTTTGTTTTTGTTGCTGTTAGTGGTGGTTTTGTTTCTTTGTTTGCTTTTTTAAAAATTTGATCAAGAAAATGCCAATACACTAACAAACTTTTGCTGCAAGTAATTATCTGATCATGTCACCCCTGTTTTTGTGTGTGTGTTTGTTCATTGGCTGTTTAAAAAAAAAATCTCGTATCTGTCATTTCGCTTACAAACTTTGCTGCAAGTAATTACTCTGATCCTGTCTCCAGGACCGCTGGTGAAAATCCTGTTGTGTTTCTCGGCCAAAACTAACATGAAGGATCTCCTGGATATGTCCAGTCCGAAAGACAAAGATAAACTGGACTGTCTGAACGGAATGCGTGTGTTCACTATGTTTTGGATTGTTTTCGGACATGCCATTTTGCTCAGTATCACAACCAGTCGTGAGTTTATGTATTTGTATGACTTCTCCTTTCGCTTATTTTTGCACTCTCTTATTATGTTTTAATTAGATCTATTTTTAATGTAGGTGTTTTTACGTCCCCATTGACACAATTCAGGTCCTTTAAGTTAAGAGGCGAGCTTCCGAATCTGCCCGTCGGAGCCGATTCGGGCTGAGAGAGATAGATTATGCATTCTAACAGAAAAACCGGGATACGAGATAAACAATATTATTTCCACTCTAGAATCGAACTCGCATGTCCTGCGTGCGGCAGCAAAGTACGTAACTGCTAAATCACAAACGTGGGTTCTTTTTTCATGCGTTATAAGTCGTTGTTAACACAATATAATAAATGAGGCTATAACGTATCGGAATAGCCCACTGAAGCAGCTGAGGGCAATGCAAGAACATGGGTAGAGGATAGGAGAAGTGTAAAGGGGTGGGATGGGGGGCGGGTGATGCTTAGGGTTTATACCCAAAAAAGAAAGTATGCTTTAATTTCGCTTATCATTTCTGTCTGGGATCTACGATCTCGTAGATCTATGTGTTACTTCATTTCAGAAGAAAGACAGATATATTTGGTAAAATATACTGTCGTCGTTAGAACCGAACCTTCGTCTTCTGAGTATACTGCAAAGAGTGCAACCACTCACCATTGACGCCGAGCTGGCTTTCTTTTGAGATACGCCAGAGTTTTGTTTACCGTTGGACATTTCATATGGAGTTCCAGTAAGGACCCCAGCAAGCTGGCTTTATCAAATTATGCGATGTTTCACTTTAAGTGGCATCGGTAGTCTATTGGTTAGGTCACTCAACTCGTTTTGTCCCTTGCAAAGGCACTTCGGACTAATTTTTCTCATTTCCCCCCCAGGTGAAAAAGAGGTACCCAGCCGTAGACAGCGAATGATCTTGTCACTTACGTTGCGTTTTAACCCCTGTAAAAATGGAAGCTTGCACTGTATGCTCTCCAAAAAATGGAGACTGTTTCAGAAAGCTATCTATCTGGTATGCAGGGGTAAGAATATTGACTGTAAGGCACACAGAGTGTGTTTTTGAGCGGGACTTTGCGCGATACTAATGCAATAATTATACTTTTTCTTCTTCTTATTATTATGTTTCACTTTCGACAGAAAACCCGATACAGTTCTTTAGGGATCAGGGGAAGTCATTATGGTTCCAGGTCATGAATGTGGGCACATTATCTTGTGACACTTTTCTGCTGATCGGGTAAGAGCGTGTTCCAGATTTTTTTCTTATTTTATTCTTGCAGAATAATGGAACAGGAGGTATTGTAATCCCTTTGACTAAGAATTGGGACATCAGCGATTTCACATATATTCGCATTTACATTCTTCTGCAATAAAAGCTGGCATCAATCAGTTGTGAACATTTTAAAACGTTTTTAACCCCCACTAGCATTATCCCAATAATCTTGTAGACTAGCAGCTTTAACTGTGCCTATGACCAACGTTAAATAAGATTCACCGATAATATCCTCTGAGGGAATCGAACTCATGTTACTTGCCTAAAGCAGGGAAGATTCTGACCATTACACCATGGATGCTATCGAGTCGAGGGTAAAGATAGATGCATGGAAACGATTCTGATATTCATTTGGCGATAGTACTTAGCGTATCATAATAAGGAAATAAGTGACCTCTTCGTAAGACATTTCACAAATTATTTCTTGAAAACCCCCCAGAATAGATCTGTCTGTCTGTCTGTCTGTCTGTCTGTCTGTCCGAAGTTTAGAATTCTCACGTATCATTTTCCAATCACGATCGACAAGTTTTGACATGCTGTTACGTCTACATTTGATTCACCCCTCCCCCTCCGTAATTCTAAAATGCAAATCCCCACTTATATTGTAAGTCAAATCTTTTTCTAAAAAATTCAACAACTTTGTTTCAGAGGTTTGGTGCTGACTTATGGAAAGTTGAACTCGTGGGCGAAAAAGGGAAGAAAAATCAGCTGGTGGAAATATTATGTCAACAGGTATTTAAGGTAAGTCAAGTCATTGGTTGCGAGCGATGTTATATTTTCTTTAAAAAAGGGATATGCTCGAATACATTTAATTTTTACTGTCTATTTTTAAAAAGTCATCCCGATTCAACTAAAAATAATGGGCAGAAGAGTTTCCGTAAATTGACAGAAAGAAAAGCAACACATTAAGGTTCTCCATTTTTTCCCTTTCTGAATTAATTTTGTCGACAAGTCCTGCCCAATAATAAATAAAATACAGAACTCACAAATAATGCCACAGAAAGTAACAGTCAAGTAAGCAAACAATGGCTAATGAAACACAATGCAAACATTTACAAATGTAGCTGTTACAACTCCCTCTTTGACACAATATAGATTATCTAGGAGGCGGGCTTCGATCTTGCATATACATAACATCATAACAGAAAGGCCGAGATACTCGATAGAGATTCTTCCTACATGTGAATCGAACTAAGGCCCTGAGCTGGGCCGGCGAAACTCTAACCACTGTGCCGAAGACCCCGGTTAGCTCAAAGATATCATTATTGTCGGTGGCCTAATGGTTAGGCTCTCGGACTCGCAACCGTAAGGTCGTGGGTTCGAATCCCGTCAAGGGCCCGACGTTGTGTCCTTGGAAAAGGCACTTTATACGAATTTTCTTCACTTCACCCAGGTGGGAATGGGTACCCGGCTATAGACAGATCTTGTCAGTCTGTTAGTGTTTGAGCGCTTAATCGGCTGCTTGCACTGTTTGCTTCCCAGGAAGCTGAGAATGTTTCGGAGTGTTCTATGGTCTGCTGGGGTAATAATATAGTGTAAAGCGCATAGAGCCTGCTGTTGAGCGGGGATATGCGCTATACAAATGCTATCTATTATTATTATTATTGTTTTTGAAAAGCCTTAGGTTTCTTTTACAAAGAAACACTTTCACGAGCTCATGCGTAATGTATACATAGTAATCTCAGCCTGTCATGTGACAAAAAGGTTAACACGCCTCTTCTTGTTTCTGGCTGTCTGTCATAGGCTTACACATTTGCTATTAATAGTACACGTCAATGGGTTTATTTATTCTTCACAATACATTTAATGAAGCCGAGCCTGCTCTAATGGCAGCTGTATAAGACAATCAAATCATCTGTGCAGATGGGCACTTCACATTTCCTCCCTTATGTTTTTTTTAACATTATAAGGCCACTGTGTAAGACGACCTTCTGTCTAAGACAGACACTTTTCTCCTTGACCATTGATGCCCCTTTGCTGTCTCGTCATTTGACAGATTTGACAACCCGCCATTTTGGAGTAATGAAGGAAGCATAGCTTCTTTATTCATACATATTTTTCAGTTGTATACTTTTCATCTGACACAAAAAAAAGACATGGAACAACATGTCTCTATTTATGCTCTAATTCGCGTTTCTGGTTTGTCTGTGTTAGTTCGAAATGTGCCGCACTATCGCCTTTGGTCTGCTTCTACTGATGGGACAATGTGTCCGCTACGGCCTTAAAGAGTTAAACATACATCTACTAATTACACACCACTACATATTGTGAAACTCAAAAATGTTGACATCAAATTCTCAAATTTAGGTATTGACTGGGTAGAAGTGTATAATTCTGAGGTAGCGCAATGGAATTTGAGTTGCAAGCATTTTTAGCTTCTTCAGCATCCCCTACAACTACTTCATTGCATAAGAACCCCAAAAAGCCGCATTTCTTTCCATACCGGGCATGTCTGTCACCACCATTTTCTCATAAAGTCAATATTTTATTTTTCTTTATCGGCCGCTTTCTCAAAACGCGATTTTTCTCTATACTTTTTAAAAATAACTCCACTATTTACAACGACACTTGCCCCCACACAGGTTGACGCCTCTCATGTTTCTCGTCTACCTATTCGCCGAGCTGACCAATCCGTACTGGTTCACCGGGCCTGTAACCCGACGTCCTGAGGAATACTTCCCCAGGTGCAAAGACACATGGTGGCAATCTCTTCTCTACATCAACAACTTTAACCATGGGGTGAGTTGGAAAACCTGCCTTGATATGAAAAAATAGGTTTTAAAAATGATTTTAAAAATGTTTGCACTAGTACTGGTCCCCTTGGGGTAATTTGCGATGCGTCGTGGTGAATTTGTTAAAATATTGAAATCAAAGAAACTGACCTTTTTTTAGGCGATGGGCAGTTTTCATCAATTTCTCATTTTCATTTTGTCTCAATACCCTTATATATCCATTTAAAACACATTGCTGTGTGGATACCATTAAAAAAACTTCAACAAAAGCCCCCCACCCCCTAAAAAAATATGTACGTTTGTATATTCAAAGGACACTCAAGCTATGAAAGTCACCAAACTTTGGAGGCCCTTTTCCCGCTAATTTTACCTCTGAAACCAGGCGAGCCCCTACTTTCTTCAACAGCAAATATCACAACAGATAGATGAATATTAATGTGAGGTGTGCTGACAAAATGAGTTACTCCTCAGATTTCAGCCTTATACAAATTGATACATCAACTTTAAAGGTGGAGTTTGAACAATTTGTAAGTATGGAATAATAAAACAAACGGTAGATCTGAAGAAAATGGGGTCAATTGAAAATCTGTTATTCTGACCCCAGTGTTGATTTTCGGCCGATATCTCCATTCTTGGATAGCAAGAAGTAACTCATTTTGTCAGAACGCCTCACATATCTTTTTCATCGAGAGATAGACAAAGGAGCAAGCTTTAAGATGCCACTAATAAACCCACACGCCCAAAACGTAAGGTAGAATGCCTGATGCCACCGCGTCGTGACACAAATGCATCCTGCCTGGCTCTGAAAAAAACATGCACAGCTGGATGGAGTCTGCGTACAAGTAGTGCAAACTGTGGTGACGTCTTATTAAGAAACTAAGTGATGTCAACAATCACTTAACTTGCGTCTTTTTACCTGACTAAATTTTCTCGGTGGTGTAGTGGTAAGCATTTCGCAGTCGCACTCACTCAGAGGTGAGTTCGATTCCGGAGTGGGGAGGATATTCTAATCGAGTAACTCCGTTCGTCCGCTGGGACGTTGTATCCCTACCTATTTTCTCTGTTACGAACTGACAGGCAGATCAAGCAGCCCGCCTCTTAAATGATCTAAGCTGTGTTGATGAGTGTGTAGAACATCTACAATTGAAACAAAAACATATCGTCAAATATCTAGAACAATTTTGTCTTAGAAAGTTAAAGAAACAAAATTTTACAATATTACTGCATTGTTACCAAATTATATGTTTTGTAAAAGCGCCTTATTTTATAACAAGGTTCAAAGATGACTGCTGTGTCTTTATGATATCAAACCCCTGCCCACGTCTTTCTCCATTTCGTTTTACCTGACTAAATTTTCTCTGACAGGAAAACTCAAGTCGCTAATTAAATAACGATATCTGTTTTTTTTAAACCATTATCTGCAGTGTTATGAATGGACTTGGTATCTCTCTGTGGACATGCAAATCTTCATCGTTACACCGATATTTCTTCTCGCTTTCGACAGGTAATCCTATGAAAATTGTTTTGGTATAATTTTTAAAAAAGGAATTGCCCAGAAGCAGATTATATTACCGTTTAGTAATGATTCAAAATATGTTTGGATTAGAGGTGAGACTTTAAAATTTGTTTATCTCGCATGCCAAAGGAATAATGCACAAGCACATGCACACATATACACATACACATACACGCAGACAAACATTTACACATACACTCACAAACCATTTACACATAATATATAATATACCTAAGTATACACATAAACAAAATTATTTTCAGTGATGCTGTGGCAATACCTACCTACCTACCTACCTACCTACCTACCTATCTACCATCCTACCTACCTACCTACCGACCTACCTACCTACCTACCTACCTACGTACCTACCTACCTACCTACCTACCCACCCACCTACCTACCTACCTACTTGGGATTTACGCTCTTTTCAACGCTGTAGGGTTAGTCACGAGGCGGGACCTCCAAATGTAACGTTAATCTGTGCAACAATCCAAGCCCCATAAAGAGATTCTACCTGGGGTTGATATTTATAGCAAAAAAAATAAATAAAAAAACAAATATGTTGAAATGTGTGGTTGGACGGTGCTCAGGTGTGATTTTTTTCCTTCTTTCTTATCGAGCATCTGTCGTCTGTATCTCTTCTCCGTCTTTTCTTTAGTATGTTTCTCTTTGGTAACACGTCTAATCTTCGGCACTTATTGACTTATTTGTTTTGCAAGTGTGTAAGACTCCCCCCCAAAAAAACCCCCCCAAAAAACAAAAAAACAAAACAACAAACACCAAAAATAAAACTCCAACAAAAACAACTACTACTAAATGTTGAAGTAGAAATCGATACTACTTCAGCTCAAAGCAAGTACTTGTACGGGATAGAGAGTTATTTCAATGTGGTCTATTATTTTTAGTTTTATTATGATTGATATTATGTTTGTTATAATGATGGTTTATATCATTATTTTTATTGTTGTTATTATTATTAATTAAAATTATTATTATTATTATTATTATTATTGTTATTATTATTACTATTATTAAATAATAGTAATATTATTATTATTATTATTATTATTATTATTATTATTATTATTATTATTATTATTATTATTGCTATTATTATCATCATCATCATCATCATCATCATCATCATCATCATCATCATCATCATTCTCATTCCTATTCTTATTCTTTTTTAAATTCTTTTTTTACTATGATAATTACTAATCTTATTACTATTGATTCCCCAGAAAACCTGTAATTGCCTACGTGCTGTGCGGCCTTGCGAGTGCCTTCTCAATGAGCTGGACGGCGTATACATCGCACGAAAGACACGTGGCGTTGACGCCGATGGATAAAGTGGAGCATTATCCTCCACTGTAAGAACGAAATTATTGTTTGTCTATTTGTCTATTTGTCAGTCTATCTTTAAAAAGATATATATCTGCGCGTTGTTATTCACCCATGAGCAAAAGTAGGATCATTTAGGAGTGGGACTGAAATCTTGCTTGAGGGGTACAACATCCCCAAGGAAAGAAAGACCAAGATACTCAATAAAAATGCAGCGGACTTGGGAATGGAACTTGGGTCTATGACTGTGTGCGACGACGAAGCGCCTCGGCTCTTCACCATGATATGGTGGATAAGTCGGTCTGTTTGGATGAAAACTTGTTTGTGTCTTAACATTCCTAAAGGAAGAGGCCCCTACAATTTCAATATTATGTGGACACGTCTCTAGAACGCATTAATGTCAAAAATTCGTCCGAAAATCCAAATGTATTCAAGGCACCTTACTTCTGATACCAAGAAACAATCCCAGAAAGGTATCTAGTTGAATACTTTTGGAAAGTTTGAAAATGAAGTACAAAAAAAGAAAAGTTATTGTGACATGCACAACCATCTGCTGCGTGCAAGGGTGGCGATAGGAAAGATAAGGAAGCCTTCCGCGCCAAAGGGGTGCGCTGCTTCTCGAAGTAGTGAGAAAACGCTAGATGTGGTCTGATGCAAATAAAGTGTAGGCTAACGATGTACGTTCGTAACTTTGGCGCCAACAACATGAATTACAACAACAGCAACAAAGGACAGCAACACAGCACCAGCTTTGGCAAAAAGGAAAATAGCAAGTAATATTCTTCAACAACAAGACATAAAAAACACACACAACAAAGCGCTATCAACATTAGCAACAATACGTTAGCTATATCAACAGAACCTCCCTACCCCACGCAAAAGCAACGAAAATGTTTTTATAATATATTATTATGTCTCACATGTCTCCATGCTAATAAAAAAAAGTATATTATATTATATTTATTTTTGTATATTCACTCGATTATTGATCTTTTAGACGCGCCTTTTCAACTGTTTAAAACTTTATTAATTTTAACACAGATCTGGTGACGATTTTTTGGAGGTCTACGCAGTGACGTGGTTCCGATTGACGCCCTACATGGTAGGCATGCTTATTGGTTATCTGCTGCACAGGACCAACAT